GCCCCAACGGCGCTGAGGACCTGCCGATCAGCACGGCTCGCGGATGCGCTTGTCGGACGCTCGCGTCGTCAGCTTTTTACGGAGGCTCAATACATAATGCCTTTGCCACAGCCGACTGAGTTATAAAAAATTTCAGTTTAGCCGTTATTGACTTTTTTCAGACAAGATACAGATCAAGTCTTGAAGCAAGTCTATAAATTAAATTTAGCCACACAGCTCGCAGACTGGAAGGCTCCTTCCTCCTTGACAAGGAAAAGCGAGGAGCAGACGGGGAGGAGTTTCTCCTTTCTGGTTTCCCGCCTGTTTCCGCAAAGCGTGCGCATTGTGTTCGTGGCTGCTAACAAGATGGAGAAACGGTTACTATCCTGTTCTCCTGTCGGCCAGCAAGACTTTTAAAAAATTTGCCTTGGTGAGACTGCAAAACGGCTCCCTGCAGCTCCTCCTCTCCCAGGGAAGAGAAAGACTTGATGTTTTGAAGCCAGCAGCAACGTTTTCCCTGCGTCTGGCAGGGACCAGTTTCCTGAGCAGCGGCATCGAATTTCCAGCCTGGATCCCGGCGCGAGGAGCAGACTGCCCAATTCCCCCTTGTACCGGCCCTCGCCCCTTCCCCCCTCGGCCTCGGTCGTTGCAGCCCGTGCGACTGCTGCCAGCCTGCCGGCAGCGAGCCGGCCTCGCGCGCAGCCTGGCCGTCCCCGAGCCCTGGGAGAAGGCTGCCCCTCGGGCACCCGCGGCTGCCAGCAACTTCCTGGGACGGACTGAAAATAGGGTGTCTCAGGTGTGCAATGCGGGCAGCAGGGCCCCCATTTCCCCTTTATGCATGAAAGGAAGGGCTGTATTGCTGATACGAAATTGTTAAGCTAAATTACACTTTTTTTTGATCTGAGTAATGTGACCAATCTGCACAAGTTGGAAATGATAAGTACATGTTAGTGGGAAGATAGATCCTTCCAAATGACACTTAAATCCATGACTTCCTCGGTAGTTCAATCAGGGAACCGCTTTCCTCAGTGGCAGCTCTTGCCCTTTGTCATGGGTTATTGCTTTTGGGCAGATCCCCATCGGGACGGCGGCAGGGATTAAGCTGTGTGCTATATGAACCAGGGAAGAAGTTAAGTAGTGTCCAGGGGCTCCCCCCCACCATGGATTAGGCAGATGAAGAGCCATATTTCCACGAAGCCTCTGGTTTGTGCGAGCCCAGGGCCTCGTGCAGGGGAGGCCGCGGCAGGAGCGAGTCCGTCCGGGCCCGGCGGGAGGCAGCCTGCCCCCTCGCACCGGTTTGCGGCCAAAGCCGAAGGCGTCCTCGGTGCCTGGTAAAGAAAAATGGTTGGAGAAATGGGAGTTGCTGTAGGTATCCGCAAGTGAAAAGTCTCCGGAGCGCTGCCGCCGGGGGCTGGGGAAGCGCGGTGTCTCCTGATGCCCCCTTGGGATTTTAGAATGGGCTGGATGCGTCTCTCTCGCTGCACCAGAGATGCTCGTTGACGTAAATGGCCGGTGAGCCCCCAGATCGTTGTTACTGTCTTGGTTTCTTTACTTTTAAAAAAAAAAAAAAGCAACCGGCTATATTTAATTCAGTGAAAGTATAAAGATCACGACGACTAAAGAACAACATAATAATAAGCATTTTTCTGAGCAGTGGGAGCAGCGCAGCCTGAGTGCGTTGTGTAGACATGAGAACAGTGTGCTTTATTGTTTTGTTTTAGGCCTCTGGGAAACCGTGTGATTTCCACGGTGGCATGTTTGAGCATCTCTCAGCGCTAACGCCCGTAGATCGATGTTGGCTCAGCTCTCCCAGGGCTCGGCCGCGTGCGCGGCGTCCGCGCGGGGAAGTGCTGCCCTGGGCCGGGGCTTTCTGCCGGCTGTTGGCACCGGCATACAGAAATTCCTGCAGTCTCACCGGGGCCAGACTGAAACCCATAACCCTGAATTTCTTCGTGACTGCCAGGTTTTCTCCCTTAAGATCCTGAAAAAGATCAGTGCAGCATTGCTTGCACCCAGAATCTGTGTATGTCGCTTTTCGTACGCGTTTCCCTGCCGTTTACTTGTATTTAGTTTGCTGTGCCACTTCAGGCTGCAGAGCGCCGGCGATGAGCTACACGTAACGCGTTTTCCCTCTGACGGACCCGCGCCATCTGGCAGCATATGTCGTGCTAGAAGGAGACGGGGAGAGCGATCGCCAGCTCGTCTGCCCACAAAACGACTCTGTGGAGCGTCTCTGAGCTCGGCGCCCGGCGCCGCGGCTCCCCGTGCAGTGTGCGGTTTCAGCCGTGCCGGGGCTGGCGAACGCCGTGCGGGGCTGCAGCAGGGCCTCGTCCCGCTGCGGGCCGGCGTTTCCCCCCTGCTGGCTCTGGTCTCGTGGCAGAGCCCGTGGCGTGGCGCTTGTGTACGCTGAGTCGTTTGCTTTGGTTGCTAAGGAGAGCTGGGCCTCTGTATTCGTTTGCAGTTGGGCAGGAAAGATCGTTGCAGAATCCCCGGGTCCTTGGCTTTAACCTGGACACAGCGAAAGCATGGAAAAAAAACTAGACAGGTTGGCTTTAATAGCATATTATATACTGTCCTTTTAGAAGGCAGGAAAAAATGAGTTGGATCTGGAGTATCTGACCCAAACGGAAGCGGTCCTGCGCAAGAGGCCGTGCTGCCCTGCGCGGCCGTCTCGGGCGTAGCGCGACTCCCCTTCGGCAGCGCTGCCCGGGAAGAATCCTTCCTAATCCAGCAACTTCCATTCCCTTCTCTCTAGGCTTTTGTTTACTGAATGGAAACCCACTGAAGAGTCGGTGCCAAACTGAGGTGCTGGACCCTTCGCGTTTAGTGGAGACGGCGATTTTGATGTGAATAGGCAGTAACATAATCGCTGGGTTTTTGCTGAAGTCCAGTCTCTTGGATATTGGCTTGCTCTAGCAGCCAGTAATGTTACTTTTTTGTTTCTGTTTTGAATTAGTAAACTTGGCCTTGATCCTATAACCTGTATTCCCACCTGTGAGCTTGTTGGTTTCAAAGAAATGATGCGTATGAGTAAAACTTGGAGGAATGGCTCTGTAATGGCAAAAACTGAAGTTTGTACTCTGCTCTTTCTCTATCCTTCCTCAGGCAAAAATTCTACAGACTTTATGAGGAATTCTGTTAAAGGAGAAAAAGCCTTGTGTGATCCCTCCAGGATTTGGCCTGGGGTGGATGTGTGGAGTCAGCAGCAAATCATCAATACTGGAAAAATAGCTAGGGATTTCTGAAGCAATGATTGCTCACTCTGGGGGGAAAAAGCGAACCGGATCCTTACATGAATCTGGTGCCCCTCACTGAGGGTCTCGGAAACCTTTCAGACGTTATTTGATGCTTAGGGTGAGCCACAGGGGACCTGAGCAGTGGCTGCATGCGCAGTGGAGGAAGAAGCTCCCACATTAATGGAAATCAGGCCTGGAGGGCTTAAGGGCCTGACCCAGCAGAGCCTGCGTGTGAATGTCAGGCGCTGCCGACTTCCTGGAGATTTTTCCTGACAATTTGTGGTGAAATTCAGAAAAGGACCCAGAGAGTCGTCTTGCTGCTCCAGCTAAGCTCCTTCTCTCCCCGCTAGCCAGCAGTGAGCCTGATGCCGTGCACGTGCGGCCCAACAGGCGAGAGCGCGCGCCTGGGTGCGCAGGACGGTCTGGGTTTCGGTGCCTCGTGTAACGCCAGGGCACTCTCTGTTCCTCTTGCAGGTGAGCCCTCCCGCTGGTCGTCCTCCCACTGCGACTGCTGCTGCAAGAACGGCAAGGGAGACAAGGAGGGAGAAAGCGGCACGTCGTGCAACGAGCTGTCGACGTCCAGCTGCGACAGCCAGTCGTAGGCCAGCTCCGGTGCCCGGCTGCGGCGGCCGTGTCCCCCGCCAGCCCAACATACAGACTCTGGACCGGCCAGCCAAGAAGGGCCCCGTGCAGCTCCTGCAGCAGTCGGAGATCCGGAGGAAGAGCGACCTGCTCCGAACTCTCACCTCGGGCTCCCGGGAGTCCAACTCCAGCAAGAAAAAGGCAGTGAAAGAAAAGCTTTCTATTGAGGAGGAGTTAGAGAAATGTATCCAGGATTTCCTCAAAATCAAAATCCCAGACAGGTTTCCAGAAAGGAAACATCCCTGGCAATCTGAACTGCTGCGAAAGTATCACCTATAGGATCAGGGCAGGGAAACACGTAACCCTGTTACCACTTAGAGCAAGATTCTAAGCGATCTGAAAATAATTCGTAATAATAATAATTTGTTAGGTCACAAAAAAAAAATCCATCTCTATAGTACTGCCTAATTTGCCTATTTCACTTTAACATTTATAGTCCTAGGGTAACAATATTTTTCCGGTTGTGGAAGCACAATGACAAATGCTTTTATTTGTGGACTCTTACACAAGCTGAATACCTGAAAGGCACAACACTATCGACAACAGAAGCTACTCGAGCGCAGGTGCTGCTGCTGGCGGTGGGAGGTGGCGCGTGTGGTCCGGCAGCGGCCGGAGGTTTGGGGACCTACATGCCTCCGAGTTCTCCTTTTAGTCCGCTTACGTGGAGGGATGTACGCAACTCAAACAAGCTATGCCATGACCGCTTACGCGTTTACATTAAGCATGTGTGTGTATATATATATGTGTATATATATCGTTGTGTATATATATGTGTATATATATATCAATATGTATTGCTTAACGATTTTTCTGGCTCTCTCCTTATAACTGCACTTTTTCAGAAAAGAGCAATTTTGGCAGTCTGTGGATGTTCAACCCTCAAAGATCTGAGGAAGAAATGGAATAGTAGAAAACCTTCTCTCTTGCCCTCCCTCCTTTTTTCCTGTTTTTTTTTTTCCCTCTCTCCCTCCTGAGACACTGTAAGCTCGTTTCAGTGGAGACCAGGGAAAAGCGTGTGGCTCTTTGTTGCTGACAGCAAAATATTCCAGTTGTTTTTGTTCTGTTTTGATCTTCCCTCTGATTCTTTCCCAAGCCTTTTTTGTATTTCTTGAGGCTTTCTGGTGACAATGGGTTAAACACGTAATGGTTCCAGCTGGAAGGATGCAGGAGTTTTTCCTGGCGCAAGCGGGGTGGCAGGTCGGGCTGCGGAGCCGGCGAGGCTGGCTGGTTCCTGTGGGCTTGCCAGGCGCGTTTGCCAGAAGTCTTTGGCCCGAGCTAGCAGGGAGAGCAGACGCTTGGTCCCCTCCGACCCAGAAGCAAATATAAGAAATTATCAGCCTAACAACCTACATTTAGTGCTTTGACTGGCAGGGAATTGATTGTTAAACAATAGGGACAGCGCTGTTCCAGCTACATGCGTTTCAAGAGAAATTAAAAATTGAAAACAAACTGGCTGTATTCTGTAAGGGAGAGGACTATCGCCGTGTCGCTCCTTTCTCTGGCCAGTAGCGCGGCAGCGGTCAGCAAGGCTGGGCTGGCGCCGGGGCGCGAGACCCTGGGCCCGTTGAGCAGGCAGGACTTGCAAGCCCTGGCGCGGGTAAGGCGCAGCGGGGAGCCCGTTTGAGGTTTGCGCCTGAGCTGCTGGAGGGCCAGGCTGGAGAGAGGTACTGAAAACTGAATTGCTCCATCTAACTTCAGGCTGCAGCTGGGAACAAGGCAGCCAGAGTATTTGGTGCAAATCATTTGTGGTCTGACAGTACAAAACAAAGGATATATGTAGAAGGGACGTGCTAGTGCTGGTAACGCACAAGGTTTTGACGTTGACTTATTGAGCGACCTCCAGGTTCCAGGGCTTCGTTTCCTCCCGAGTTTCAGGCTGCTGTGGAAGACGAGGCCGCGTGCGCGCAGGTTAGTTCTGTCTGTCTTGATGCAATTTCAGTAAGATGATTTATTCATGCCCTGAAGGGCCCCTTTGCTCCCACAAAACTGGCTAACGTGTTTCCCTTTGCCAGAAGAGTCGCGCGGTCTGCCCGAGCAAAGAGGCAGAGGCCCGCGCTCGTCTCGTCGGGCAGCGGCGGGCGGGAGCCGCGCCGGCAGCGA